GCTTCCTAACACGGGGAGGTGAAAGGTAGAGGGGCCAGAGTGTCTGTGACTGATGGTCAATAGGTAAGACGATGGCGTAGCCTGGCTTGGGCAGATGGGTGCTACACCTGCCCTGTCTCACTGCTGGGTACAAGCACCTGCACCTTGCCTCTATTTCTCCACACCAAATTCTGCCCAGGGTTCAATTCTAGGTTTCTAATGTAGATTAGACAGCAGCCCTGTCACTATATCTAGGAACATCTCCCTCGTCAATCTCCTGGTCTTCCAGAGTTGAAGTATCAGTGGCCCCCTAGTCCATCAAGGCAGTGTGAACACTGGAGTGGCAGACACAATGTAGCAGCTTAGGATGCCTGCTAAGTCACATGCTCACGACCCAGCACTAGAGGAATGCTTCAGCCATGCACTTCGGAGATCTCCCCAAACCCTGTCTGTCTCCTATCTGCCCATTTTGTCACCAAGTACCTGACAAATAGCAACTTAAGGGAGGAAGTGCTGTTTCAGGTATGGATTAAGGTATGGACCGTTTCAGGTACAGACTGTAGTCCATCATGTAGAGGGCTGGAGCATTCTCAGGGCTTGCTCACATTTTTGTAGACCAAGAATTCAGAAGGGGGCAGGAAAAACAATCCCTGCACCTCAGTGACCCACATCCTCCAGTTATGCTCCACCTTCCAATGAGTCCACTTCCCCAAAACAGCACCACTTGCTGAGAACCAAGTGTTTGGACACAGGACCCCGAGGGGGACATTCCATAACCAAACCATCCTACTGTCTGTAAACAATATGTTGCTTGGATTGCACTGTGCTGAGGCCATGCCTTGGTCCCAGCACAGGCTGGCCTGTCACCTCCCTTCTTCCTCACTATCTACATAGATTCCTGCGCCAAGGAGTGCAGCAGGCCACATCTGCTCTCTACCCCTGCTGTACTCCTTTGCAAGTAGCCCCGGGGACTCTTGAGGATGAGAGGAAGCTGGGGACCTGCAAGGTGCCTGTCTACAGAAGTTCATAGCCTGTGCACGAAAAGTCACCCAGGGCCTGGCCCATCAGAGCAGACACAGGTACAGGAACTAGACAAACAGTATCAGCCAGCAAGTGTGGCAGAGCTGAGGACACCCACCAGAGGCTTGGTCAGGGCCAAGGTAGATGTACTTCCCCGATGGAGAAAAGAGCAGACTGGGTACAGCAGGATAGGAGCATGGTGGTGACAACTACCACCAAATGAAGCGTCCTCTCACCCCATTGGATAGGCCTGTCCTCCAAAAGGACCAGCAACAGGTGGATGTCTGAACCCTAAGAGACTCCATAGAAAGGGAGGGAGACAGTCACCCCTCCCACCCAATTATTCAGCTTCAATTATGTGAGGGGGCGGGTCTAAGGGGAGTTGTGGAAGAAGCCAGGGAGGTGGTGGGAGCTTCGCCATCTTGGACCCGTGGGCTGGCAGCTGTGGATCTGGAAAGCTCAGCCAAGATGTAGGGGAAGAAAGCCCATGGGTGCATGCCTTTGTAAGTAACCCCATCCCAGACATCACAAAGTGTAAGAAAACCCAAATAAAATCTTTGTTCCATAAACTGTAGCTTAGAGGGACATTGTGCTGGTTTTGTTGGTTGATTGTATGGACAGTGTGGGAAGAAAAGGTCATGGCAGCCTCACAGAGGGCCTGGGAACCGAGAGCCCATGAAGCGTGTGTCTCCCAGAAGTAAATTTGACTTTACACCCCAAAATGCAGGGATGCTTCTGAGTCCTCACCTGAGGGTCCCCATGGATTAAAGGGTGGGAGCCAGCACGGGATGCCTAGGGAAACACCAGGGAACACCAGGCCCTCAGCAGAAGCCGTCTTGGCTTGGCAGAGCTTACATCACTTTCTAGCAAGTAACTCCTGCTAAAATAGTCAACTTCATTCCTCCCACAAAAGATGCTTGGCTTAGGACCTTGTCAGTGGAGCACTTCACTCCTTGGAGCTACAACCACAGGCTTGGCAGCCTCCTTCAATCATCACCCCGGCAACCACTTCTTGTCAGCACCTGTCCACAGCACACTTCCCCTTAGTCTCTGTAATTGTTCTGAGTCTTTGTCCTCAGCTCCTTGTTAAAATCCATTTGAAGGCTCTCTTTGGGACCACCTTCTCCTTGAAGGTCGCCCTAAGTCTTCTTCCTGGAGGCTCCACCTCTGTCCTGAACTTTGATGCAGAACCACAATAACAATGGGGCCTCCTACCCTGACTGTAGAGCCACCTGTGCTTTCTTGATCTCTGCCAAACCCTGAGGGCACCTGAAGTTGGAGCTGTTGTCTACTTACTTAAGCACCATCCACAGTATATGGGGCAAGTCCCTGCAATCAGCTTACACAGCCAATAAATGAGCACTGGCTTAGCTAAATATTTTAAAGCAGATAACTGAGGCAAAATGTCCATGTGTAATTAAAAATGAAATGATACACAGGCACCAAGGATCCAAGTGCAAATGATTATGACAAGTAACAATCAGACACATACAGATTAGAGATGCATGTGCCAACATCTGAGTGTTAGTAGCAAAAACAATGTGTCTTTTTGCAAGGAACAATATATTCTAAAATGAAATGGAGATCTTTTTTAAAGGCTAAAAACTCATCCAATTTTATGTCTTACAGGGCTTATACTGAGTCCAATAATATATAACTATATTAATTCAACTATGAACCTAGAAACTTGCACCTACTTGTGAAAGAGATGTACTCTTGCTCTGGAGTATGTTACTGAATATGTTAAATCTGTAGTGAAATGCTTCTTCTAATCATGTAGCT